AGTTTTACCAGTAGCTTTATCTTTTATTTAAAGGCTTTCCTTTTCCTGCAACTCGCTTAGCTGGATTTCCTGAGATGTGGGTACAACAATTCCATCAAATCGCTGCTTCCTCGAATTCTTGTTTGCTGGAGCAGTCCTAGTGGGTCCTAAGACTTCATAGTCTGACTCATAACTTTCTTCTTCTGAAGAAAAGTAAGCATAAAGAGCTTCAGCTTCCTCGCCTTCATTTTCTTCATCATCAGTTTCAAAATAATCTGACTCTAGGTAAAATTCATTATCAAAATCTACTGTTATGTAATTGGATTTTGCTGGCTGAAGTCTTTGGACTGCTTGGTAAAGTGTTTCTTCTCTGGAAATTCTCTGGATAGGGTTTCCATTCTTTAGGCATAATCTTCCTGTAGCTGGATCTTTAGTTATTACCCCCTGATTGAGAAGGTCATTTATTTTTGAGCATCTTGATGTTGTGTGACCAGGCTCTCCACATCCAAAGCAATTATTGGAGTTTCTATTCTGATACATGTGTAAGGGAAGATCTCTGTTCCTGTTAGAGTTTTCCCTAGTGGGATTACTATAATTGTTATTACCCATGCTTTCACTAGCATTTTTCTGCCTTTGAAGACTTTCCAAAATGTCTTTAATTGCCGGGTTAACCTGATAAGCCTTTGTAAAGAGTCCAGCATATCCGCTGTCATTAATACTCATTTTACTGAGTTTGCTAACCAGTTCTTCAAGATCCAGACCATGTTCTGGCTCCTGAATCTTGGTTTTTACCTTTGCAACTGGGTTCTTAGGAGGTTCAGATTCAGATTCTTCTGAATCACTATGAGCTGCTGTTGTTTTCTTATGTTTTTGCCCAGAGGTCTTTGTAGTTTTCTTATGCTTATGCATTTTCTTCCTACGCTTATCCATAAGCTTTTTGCTGATGTGGTCTGTGTCTGATTCTGAAGGGCTTGAATCTTCATCAGAGGAGTCTGAATTGTCTTGTTCTTCTAGGTCTGTATCTTCAATGTCAGATGGCAATCTTTCCTTGTCAAATCTGTCTCTAAGCAGCATTTGTTCTGCTGCTTTTGTGACTTGCTCCATACTAAAAGGTTTTTTGTAGTCGTGGTTAGGATCAGAGACTAAGAGTCTGGCTTCTATTTTTCTCCTAAAGGTTTTTGGAATACCTTTCCAAAAATAGAGGTTCAACTCTGTTTGAGTTATCTTTCCATTAGAAAGCAGCCATCCTGCAATTCTAATAAATTCCCGATTGTATTTCTTCCAGGCAGCCAAGTCCTTAAAGGTACTTGCCCCTCTAGACTTCTGAACATAGTTTTCTAAGTCCGTATACTTGTACCGCCTTGTATCTTTTTCTGCATCATAGAATTTAAGAATATCTTTGCTAAATGCAGTCCAGTTTCTTGAAGTATAACTGGGAAGTCCTTCCATAAATTCTCTAACATGTCTGGAGCAGTATTGGGTAATATTCTCCACCTTTTCTTCATCTAATGTAATGTTCTTTTGAGCACATAGTCTTTCATAGTGCTGTAGGAAAAGCTTGACTTCATTGAATTTTCCAGTGAATTTCTTTGGAGCACCTTTGTGTCCAATAATTGGTAGACTATTAGGGCCTGTTTCTAAAGCAGACCTATGAGCTTTTGCTGACGGTGATTCACTTCTAGATGTCATTATAGAAGGATGTAAGGAGACTCCTGAACTGTTGTCTGTTACAAGAGGTGTGGTATCTTCAGAGTTGGGAGTTTGAGGTATACTTCTTGAGGCTGTTGAACCTAAATGGATTGTATCTATTTCTGAGAAGTCTTCAGAGAAAACTGGAGAATCTGGATCCTTATTTTTCCCAGGCAACATAAGCTTTTAGTTAGTAAGGAAACCGGTCAGTAGGTGTGGTTTATTCCCCCCTCGCGGTGGGCTCCACAGATGTCGTAAAGAAAAGGTTAGGATAAGAAAAGTAAGTAAAATAAAAATGAGGTTTGGTATAAGGAAGATTCTAGGAGAAATCCTAGAAGGTTACTTTTTAATAAAAGAGAATGGAGTTTGTTCTGTTCTAAACTAAAAGCAAGAAGGGTATAGTATGGAATACTTAGATTTGGTTTTCCCAATCTTTTCTTTCCAGGGTTCACTGGGTTAGCCTTTCAACCAAGCTATCCTGGTGTTCGTGGGGGACTAATTCAAAGACCACCTACTAATCTGCTTAAGTACTCTAAAGCCTCACTTGCCTGTTACAAGGGACTTTTAAGGAATCTTAGAAGATGGGCTGTAAGAAGGTTTAGTTAGTAGCTTAAGGACTAGCTACTTGGGTTAGTAGAATAGGGTTTTTAGATAAGTAAGATAAGAGGGTAACAAAGACAAGTTAATGTCTTGGTTAACTTAGTAAGCTTTGGCTAGTAAGGACAATTCAATGTCCTTAGAGGATTTGTATAACTTGAAGCAGTCTGAAGCTTCCAATTTAGAGTTAAAGATCAAGAATAGATTTAATCTTTTTACTGCTAGTCTAATTACTGTAAGCTCTACAGGAGACGTACCACAGTCTCAAATAATGACGCCACTAGCTCTCGCAGTCTAGGGTTAGTCAAATAGTGAACTCGTGCACTATACCAAGGGCGTTTCCCTTCAGGTTATTTGAAAGTCAGAGGCTCT